GCAGGTCCCGCGTGGGTCTCTGATTCAGGGCCCGCCGAACCCACGCGAAGGCGCTGCGGGAGGGAGGGAGGGAGGGAGGCGTGCTGGAAGCGCGGGGCCGGCTCCGCCATTCAAGCGCGCTGCCTCCCCTCCCCCAGCCCCCCAATAGCGCATTGTTACACTCGGTTTTCTCCATTCAGAGCCGAAGCCCGCCGCTCCCTCGGGAGCCGGGGTACCCGGAGGAGGGCAGGGCTCCGGCCGCGCTCCGGCCCCTGGCGGGGAACTGCGGACTAAGATCCTCGAGAAGGGAAACCGCTCGCTGGGAAAACAGGCGCCCCAGGAAGCAGGGGCCGCAACGACCTCGGGCCTGGCCGGTGTTTCGCTTCCCCTCCGCCCCTCCTCGGAGGCCCCCGTGCGACCACGCTCCAAATGTCACCCCCACGTCCTGCCACCCCTCTGCCCCCACCACATTTGCCCCCATGTCCTCCTCCCGGGTCCACTGCCTATAAGGCGCAGCGGCCCAGCCCAGAAAAGGGCCAGAGGGCCGGGGGCTTGGCCGCGCCGCTGTCTGGGGGGCACCAGGCTCGCGTGTCCGGTGCCCCCACTCGTGACGTCACCCCCGAAGGGCCTGCGCGCCCCAGGTCTGGCCGCCACGGAGCTCCCCGGTTCGCGGGGGGCTGCTTCCTGCCCAGCGGCGGGCCTGCGCACAGGCCCCAGCGCCGCTGCCCGGGTGGGGACACCGCGGAGAGCCCCGCGCGCCCCATCTCGCCACGCACGGCCCTCGCCGCCCCTCGCGGCCCTGCCTCCCGGCGACGGCCACGCTGGGCCCCAGTCGCGCATGGAGAAGTCAGCTCCCCGCCCCCCACCCGGACGCACTCACAAAGCTCCCCTCCCGCGCCGCGCGAATGCCCCCCACGTCCCCACCCCACGCGCGCAAGCACTGCACGCCCCGGCGCACGCAGAGCCCCCGCCACAGTCGACCCTCGCTCCTCGCGCCCCCACGCCCCCTCCGACCCCGGCCGGCCGCACACATCCTCCAGAAGACCCTCCCTCAGCCGCGGCGCAGGGCGCCCCCACCCTGCAGCTCCCCAGACGGCCATCCGGTGCCCTGGCGCACCCCCCACGCCACACAAAGCAGTGACCCCGAGGACCCCACATCGCTCCCCGGCGCGCGCGCTCGCCCGCCCGGACTCCTCGCCCGGCCGGGATGGGGATCCCGACGTCCCGCGCCGCCGCCCCCGCCCCGCGGCGCAGTCCCCGGCGGCCCGCGCCCGGCGCTCGCTGCTCACCTCGGCGCCCGCGCTCACGCTGGGGCCCTGGGTCTGGCGCTGCGACTTCGCGGCCCGGAGGCCCGGGCGGCCATGGGGTCAGGGCACGGCGGCCGGGCCGGCCCGCGGCCAGGCAGGAAGGAGGGTGGGCCGCGGCGCCCCCTCCTCGCGCCGGCGCTCGGGCCGCGGGCGGGGCGGCCTGCTCGGCTCGCCTCCTGCCCGCGCCGCCGCCTCGCTCCGACTCGCCTCCCGGAGCCCAGCCGCGAGCGGGGGCGGCGCCCGGCGGCGCGGGAGCCGGCGGCGCGGGGACCGGGCCCTGGCCGCGCACCGGCCGGGCCTGCCTGTGTCCGCGGTGCCGCGGGGAAATGCGATCCCCTCCGCACAGGAAGAGCGGAGCGGCGGGCGGCGGGCGACGCGCGGGGGGAGAGGGAGAGCGAGAGCGCGAGGAAAAAAGTTCCCGGGCGGCCTGGCTGCGCTCGCTCGCGGCCCGGGCGCCAAGTGGCCGTGCGCGCCCCGACAGCACCCCCTGGCGGCCCGCGCGCCCCACTGCGCGCACCCCGCCCGCCGGCCTTGGGGGAGGGGGCTTCGCCGTGGGATCCCGGAGCGGCCCTCGAGGACTCCAACGCCACCGCCTGGGGACGCCGCGGTAAGGGGCCCCGGACGGGGGCTGTAACCTAGGCGGAGGGTTTGGACCCGCATCCTGCCCTCAGGTGCTTCCAGTCTCGGGTCAGGCCCCCCCCCTTCACCCCACCTCTAGCACTCACCTGTGACTGCCTATTTACACTCTGAGAAACATTTTCGATTTCAAAACTGCATGGGCTGTATACAAATTTCTTCATTTGCTGGTCACCTGGCACTTTCCTGGGCGCTAGGAATCAACAGAGACAATGTGGTCCCTGCTGTCATAGAGCTGGCATCCTGGTGGGAAGAGACAGACAGCAAACAAATGCTTAGATACATAAAGAAGATAATTTTAGAGAGCAGTAAGTGCTAGGAAGAAAATTAGCTGGGAAGTGATGGATAGGACTACTTAGCTGGGGGAGAGAGAAGGAGGCCTATTGGTGCAAAGATCTAAATAGCAGGAAGGAACTGCCATGGACAGAGGCTGGGGAAGAGCATTCTTCTTTTTTATCTATTTTTTAGAGATGGGTTCCCACTATGTTGCCCAGGCTGCACTCCAACTCCTGGCCTCAAGTGATCCTCCCACCTTGGCCTCCTGACTATAGGTATATAGGTATATGCCATCATACCTGGCTGGGAAGAGCATTCGTGGTGGAGGCAAGGGCAAGCGCAAAGGCCCTGAGGCAAGAGAGAACTTGGTAAGTAGAACTGTGAGGAGGCCATGAGCAAGGGGACAAGTAGTGGGCAGATTGAAGTCAGAGTCACCATGGAAGGCCAGAGCCTGCAGGGCTGCAGACGGCCTGGTGAGGAATTTGGTTGCAATTCTAGTGCTATGGGAAGAAAGGCATTGGCAGATTTTAAGCAGAGGAGTGCTGAATGAATGAGTGAGTGAATGAACGTATGAACTTACAGACTCCTGAGCAATTGCTGCTCCAAGGCTTCTGCTCAGCATAGCTCAGGTGGGAGCCCACTGCCATCTGCTTGGGAAGCCTCCAATCCCACCCGGCCTCTGGGCTCTGTGGGCAGGACCCCATCCACAGCCCCATGGAAGCCTGCTCCATTTGCTTTTGGGGTGGGGGTGGGGTGGTCAAAGTGTCAGAGCTCCTAGGTGATCTGGGACAAGTGAATCCCCTCTCTCAAACCTCTGTTTCCTTGTCTGTAAAACAAGGTGTGATGATAGGTATGGTGCCCTTCTTCTGTCAGGCACTATACCCCTTTTCGTACAGTGTCTTACTTGATCCTGGCAACCCCCCTGTGAGGTAGGCTCATCACATTTTGTGGATGAGGAAACTGAGGCACAGAGTGGTAAAGTCACCCGTCCAGGTTCTCAAGCTACAGTGACAGAACCAAGACTGGCACCCATAGCCCTTCCACCAGGCTTGGCCGCCAGTCTCCCAGAGCGGATGCAAGGCGCAAGGCAGAGCTGGGCCTCAACGTGGACTCCAGTGTTTTAAGCACATAGGTTCTGGGGGAGACAGATCTGGTTCCTAAACCTGTCTCCTCTCTGCCCAGCTGGATGGCTTTGGGCAAACTAGTTAACTTTCTGAGTCTCAGTTTTCTCACTTGCAGAATGGGTATAATAGTGTGCCTACCTCATGAGGTTGCTGAGAGGATTACCTGGGGTAATGTGTGCAAAGCATTTGCCCAGAGCCTGGCATGCAGGGGCTGCTGTCGCTACTTCAGGTGAGGAGCTAGACAAATGGGAACGGTCCCTTTCATCCATCCGGGGTCCCTTAGACCCCACCCCAGCTGGTCTCCTGCCCTCCCTGCCTTGCCATAACCTGCTCTTGGGCAGAGCCTAGGGGAAGGCCTGCTCTAGGAACCCTAATGGGGGCGAGATGAGGAGGCCTCCCTGGGCGACTTCTCCTTCCCACACAGGTTCCCAGAGACTAGCCCCTCCACCCAGAGAGGGAGGGAAGCCCCTGGAACCTCAAGTTTGCAGAGCCCATTTTCTGGCCTTGGAATTGGTATTTTTTGCTTTTTGTTTGTTTTAAATGCAATTTGGTATCAAATTTACATGGCTGGACACATTGGGCCCCATGCTCGGTGCTGGGGGTAGAGGTTCACAGGCCTCTTTGGGGCCACGGCTCAGGCACTGTTTTGTCTGAGACATTAGCCTTGCTGGGTGGCAGCAAAGGCTGAGGGGACGTGGCCTTGGAGCCAGGCCTTGAAGGACGGGCAGGAAGGGAACCCAGGCGGAGAAGAGGGCGGCTGTCTCAGAAGGTGAGAGGGGAAGGGACGTGCGTGCACACTGAGAGAGCTCCTGTGGGGTCAAAGTAACTGCCATGTTTGAGCACCTACTGTGTGCTAGTTACCTGCCATGGGTATTAGATTCCTAAGGACGCTGTAACAAATCACCACAAATTTAGTGGCTTCAAACGACACATGCTTTACTCTCTACAGTTCCAGAGGTTGGGGGTTCATGGGCTACAACCAAGGTGCCGGCAGGGCTGGTGCCCTCTGGGGGCTCCAGGGGAGATTCTGATCCTGGCCTTTTCTGGCTTCGGAGGCTTCTGGCTGATGACCCCTTGGTGACCTCAAGAAGCCGACAGAGGCAAGAAAACAAATAATTGCTTTCACTGTCACAGTTCCCACTTCCTCCCTTGGCCCTCCTGCCTCCTGTCACAGGACCCTTGCGAGTGCAGTCAGGGCAACCCAGGATAATCTCCCGTCTCAAGAAGGCCCTTAATCTCATCACATCCACAAGGATCTTTATTTATGTATTTATTTTTGAGATGGAGTCTCATTCTGTTACCTGGGATAAGAGTGCCGTGGCATCAGCCTAGCTCACAGCAACCTCAAACTCCTGGGCTCAAGCGATCCTCCTGCCTCAGCCTCCTGAGTAGCTGGGACTACAGGCACGCGCCACCACGCCCAGCTCAGGCTGGTCTCAAACTCCTGAGCTCAAGCGATCCTCCCGCCTCAGCCTCCCAGAGTGCTAGGATTACAGGCGTGAGCCACCCGCCCAGTCTTTTTTTTTTTTTTTTTTTTTTTTCCACATTAGGAACACTCACAGGTTGCAGAGATTAGGTTAGAACTGGGGTTTTTTTGTGAGCCATTCTTCAGCCTGCCACACCATGCTTTCCGTGAATGCTCCCTCATCACACTCATTTTACAGATAAGAAAACAGAGACTCAGAGAGGTGAAGTCACTCACTCAAAGTCACACAGCAGGTGAGTGTATTCACCCATTTCATGCGTATTTATGGAGTGCCCATTGTGGGTCAGACACTGGGTTAGAGTCTGGGTTGCGATGTGGAAGTTACTTGTGAAAACACTGCGGTGCACAGGCACGCAAGGTAATGACCTGGTCCTGCCAAGGAATTCAGGGAAGGCTTCTCGGAGGAGGTAATCCGTGAGCTGAGCTCTCAAGAGAGATTTTCCTAGGCCTGCTTTAGCCAGGGGAGGCTTCTGAGCAAAAGAGTGCTGTGTCAGAGCAGGCCCACCATGGGCCTAACCATTCGAGACTACTCTGAAAGGCGCTGGCTGAGAGGGCACCGGCTTCTTGGAAGAGAACCAGGAGCTGATCAGGGCTCGCTGTCAGCAGAGCCAACCCCAGGAGACGTCTGCTGTTGAGAACTCACTTGTCGTCCTTAGTCGGACGCAGGCAGGAGGGCGAGGAGGGGTGGGCATGCTGTGCAGTGAAGACACGTGCAGGCGTCTCAGCCCTGCAGCTCGAAGGTCCAATCCAGGCTGCCGAGATTGCATGGGTTGGAGAGCAGAGCAAAAACTCTAAACACTTTGGAGTTAAAATACCTTTAAGGAAGCTAAGCTCTTGGGGGCCCTACCTCTACCTATTGTTCTATAACCACATTTAAATCACCTGGCTGACCCCCAAAGGCCTTTGAGTTTGACATACCTTCCATTGAGGGGTCAGGGGCCCTAAGACTCCACATCCTAGTGGCCTTGTACTTCCTCTCTGTTTTCCCACAGGTCAGAAGGAGATAAGTTTCCTGCCTTCAGGACAGACACGCCCCTCGGGCTGGAAGACAGGAAAGGGGAGAGGAGCTATCTCAGGACAGAATCCCACACCCTGCCAGGGACCAGGCTTGCCCTTGGACTGCTCAGCAGAACGCAGAGGGTGCCCACTGCGGCCAGGTACTTCGGCCAGCAGCTGCCTTGTTAGGTAGACATCTCCATTTCAGTGGCTCCCTTGTTGAGATGAAGAAACAGACTCAAGAAGGTGAGTAACTTGCCGAGATCACACACTCATATACCTGGGCAGGGAGCCTGAGCCGCTACCCACGCCGCCCTCCTGCCTCCTCTGGGACAAAAGCTCCCAGACGGAGGCTCCGGGCCGTTGTTTTACAGCCCTGGCAGGGTGTGGGTGTGCAGCAGGACTCCCGTTAGCAAGCTCGTAGCTAGCATTTATTTGGCTCTTGCTATGTGCATTTCAGTCTTTCTATCTCCATTTTGCAGAAGAGAACATAGGGGCCCAGGGAGGGGAGGAAACGCTCTCAGCATTGGTTGCCTTGGTGTGCAGAGCTGTCCTCCTGGCTCTCTGCTCACTCAGCCACAGAGAACGAGATAGGGAGTCAGAGGGGAGCGCCTTCCCCAGCTCTGCCACCTGCTGACAGCCTGGCCTCGGACACCTGTCTGCTTTCTGGAAGCCTCTGCTTTCTAACGGGGAATGTAGCAGTACCTACCTCTTGGGCTTATTGTGAGGACTTTAAAACACTTCACCACTGTAGAGCCCTGCGCCACCAACCATTGCTGCTCCCACTGCACTCCCACCCAATCAGCCTCAGCCACCCCTCTAGGGAAGACCAATGTGAATGATCTCCAGCAGAGAAAAGAGGGTGAGGAGGTGAGAGCCCTGCTTAGCTCCAGACGACTTCCATCACTGTAGGGTAAGTGGGAATTCTGTCCAGTTCCAGGGATGCCCTGCAAGGGGTCTCAGACCAGCTGGCCCTGGGCCAGAGAGGTGTCACTAGGGCCCTCCATTCATTCATTCATTCATCCATCCATTCATTCATTCAATACACATTTGTTGAGCCAAACCTAGTTCTAGATTCCATCTCCAGGAATGAGGTGATGTGGGTCCCACCACCCAGCACCCACTGTCTGACATATGAGACAGACATTGGACACATTCTGGAGGGGGGCTCACTATCCCAAGTAAAATGCCACTCTTACAAGCCCTCTTACACTAGAAACCAACATTTCTTAGTAATTGGAGAAAAAAACATTTAATTGGAATTTTAAAAAATGAACTTAAAGCTATGAAAATACATACAACAAAATTTACACAACAAAATTTATTTGATGTGCTAATTCTTAGATCAGTGTGCTAATACTTAGTGCTATGGTTTGAATGTCCCCTCCCAAACTGATGTTGAAATTTAATTGCTATTTTGACAGTATTAAGAGGTGAGATAGTTAAGATGTGATTGGGTCATGAGGGCAGATGGATTAACAAGAGAGTGGATTTGTCATAAAAGTGAGTTCTGCTCTCTTGAGCTCTCTTCCCCTTTGGCCCCCACTGTGGGATGACACAGCACAAAAGCCCTCACCAGATGCAGGTGCCACACTCTTGGACTTCCCAGCCTCCAGAACCATAAGCCAAACAAAATTCTATTGTTTGTAAATTACCCAGTCTGTGGTATTCTGTTATAGCAGCAAAAACAGACTAAGATACCAGGGGTGTAAAAAGTTAATTTGAGTGGCCATAGTTTTTCCCACAAAATTGCCCAGTGGTCCTTAGTGGGTCCTAACTACTCAAAGACTTCATTTACCACACCCCCCTGAGTTCTTTGGGCCACTCTGACTTCTGTGGCATCCAAATCATTTTTTTTTCCAAAGTACAAAGTCATCTTTTTTTTTTTTTGAGACAGAGTCTTGCTTTGTTGCCCAGGCTAGAGTGAGTGCCATGGCATCAGCCTAGCTCACAGCAACCTCAAACTCCTGGGCTCAAGCAATCCTCCTGCCTCAGCCTCCCGAGTAGTTGGGACTACAGGCATGCGCCACCATGCCCAGCTAATTTTTTCTCTATATATTAGTTGGCCAATTAATTTCTTTCTATTTATAGTAGAGACGGGGTCTCGTTCTTGCTCAGGCTGGTTTCGAACTCCTGAGCTCAACCAATCTGCCCGCCTCGGCCTCCCAGAGAGCTAGGATTACAGGTGTGAGCCACCGCACCTGGCCACAAAGTCATCTTTCTTCGCATTGTTTAGGCAGGGCTGACCCAGCCAGACAGAGCCTTGATTTGTCAGCCACTCCATGTGAGACCCCAAGAGCTCTCCAACATCACTCCCATCAACTTCAGGATATTCTACAACTTTGGTAATGTTTGTAGGTTTCCTGTGCCATCAGCTTGCATAAGCGAACCTGAGACAAAAGAGATGCTGATGGGAGTGGGGGGTTGGGGAGACATGCTGGTGCTAGGTAGGGTGAGATATTGGAGTAGGGACTAAGTTTATAAGTGGCCAGCACAGTAGTAAGTATTAATATGTTCCTGTTTTAACAACTTTTACTTCCAACTCAGATAACTAATGCTACCAGGAACTCCACTTATTAGGATCAGCCCCATCAGCCCAAGTCCTTTTGCATCTTGGAGTTACATTAGGGAGGGGTAAAATTCCACCTTGTTTAAGTCAGTATAACTGTGGAGCTCTGTTAAAGACCTTTGTCCTACCTTTTGGTGGTAATTTTTCTGTGGGGAACATTCTCTCCCACTTTCAGCGTATGTTGTTTAGGCTGGGCTGAGCCTACCTCTGGGATGCAGAGATTGTCATAAGACTCAGGTTTGACCAAAGTGCCCTGTTCACCTGGCCACAGTCATTGGTTCAGGGATGGTCACATGACCCAAGTGCTCTGGGAGTTTTGCTGGAAGCATTGAGCTTTGCTGGCACCTCCTGGGTTGTCAGGATGGTTGGCTGAGTCTGAGGATAAAGGCAACATGGAGGAAAGAGGTGTGAACAGACACAGAGACGCTCTGGGCACCTGCATCCCGCTGTGTCTAAAGCTCAGAACCCTCCGGACTTTAAGTTACTTGAGCCAATGCATTCACCTTTCTGCGTAAACCAGTTTGAGTTGGTTTTCTGTTACTTGCCTCACAGAGAACTGAGACTGTTTACCTGGAGAAAAAAAGTTGGGATGGGGAGCAGAGGGGGATGACCACTGCATTCAGAGATCCGAAGGGCTCCCGATCTTGTGTGATGGCGCCCAGACTGCGTGGTTCCAGTGGGTAGAAGGCCTGGAGCAGGCTCTCAGCTCTTCAGGAGGAAGAAATTTCCCACAGTTAGAGCTGTTCAACAAGGGCCATGGGCTACAGAGAGAGAGAGAGTAAGCTTCCCGTCTCGGGGGGTATGCAAACAGAGGCAGGATGGGATGAAGGCGACTCAAGCTGACCTGGACAGAGATCACGTAATGGGTGAATTTGACTCAGGCCAGCTTTAGTGTCGAGCTGGGGAATGCCAGTCACTCCCAATCTGGAAGTATAAAATATTTGAAATATTCAAGAAGGTACAAAAAGTGATTCAGTGATCATCCCTGAATCCACCGCTGTCAGCTCAAGAACTAAAACCTCACCCGTGCAGCCCAGCTCCTGACCACAGGCCCCTTCCCCCTCCCCTCGCTGGTCTTTAAGCTTTTACTACACACGCACGGTCCACGCACTTCAGAGGTCTTTTTAAAATAGGGGGCTCAGAATTGCCATACTTTCAGGCCCTATGGATTTTTTGTTATTACCGGTAGTGAAAATAAAAGTGCTTAGCTACTAATAAAACATGTATTTTCTTTCTTTTTTTTAATACTAGAAAAGTATGACAAGAGCAGTCTCCAAACAGTTTTCCATCTTGTCTATATGAAAGCGATTCCATCACCTCCCTCCCCACCTGGACACCCGGCCTGTTCCCAGCTGCTGGACCCAGATAATCACAATTCCAGGGTTCGGGACTGAGACTGAGATAAGGCATATCAAACACTTTGCACATTCCCTGGCATATAGTAAGTGCTAATTTTAGCACTAGTTGTCATTATCAATGTCATTGCCATCTGGGGAATTGCTCCCCCGCCCCCTAGTCCTGGTTGTCATGAAATCCTGGTGCTTTTACCCTTTGCTCCTCCCCTGGCCACAGCCTCTGGAACTCCTCTTCTTGTCTTGGGTCTCAACCCCTCATCCACCTTCCTCACAGTGGCCCAAGCAGTTGTTCCCTTGCAGTGTATGGCTCACTCCCTGGCTTGCCCCTACCCCCTGCCACCCCCAAGTCTGGCCTGGCCCATACACATCCTTCCTTGCTCCATCCCTGCAGTATGACCTGCAGGTCCCTCAATTGCCTCTAATCTTACTCCTCTGAGCATCCCCACATGCTGTTCCCTCTGCTTAAGATGCTCTTCCCCCCTTGCTCTGTCTGGCTGCTCCCTCCACACCCTTCCAGGCTCAGCTGAAGAGTGGGCTCTTCCAGCATGCCCTTCCAGGCCTCCTTGGGTCAAATCAGGCCCCCATTTCCACAGCAGTACCCCCAGACACATTTTATAAACCACCAACAGTCTCTGGGATCATTATCCTTTATGAGTATCTTTTTCTCCAGGTGGTGAATTTCTTGAGGGCTCTGCAAATACTTTTTGCACAACAATTAAAAAAATGTTTAAAGGGCAAGAGTCTTGCTCTGTCTCCCAGGTTACAGTGCAATGGCACCATCACAGTTCACTGCAGCCTCGAACTCCTGGGCTCAGGTGATCCTCTGGGACTACAGGTGTGTGCCACCATGCCTGGCTAATTAAAAACAATTTTTTTTTTTTTGTAGAGACAGGGTCTCCCTATGTTGCCCAGGCTGGTCTCAAACTCTTGGCCTCATGTGATCCTCCCGCCTTGGCCTCCCAAAGTGCCAGGATTATAGGTGTGAACCAACTGCGCCTGGCCTTGCATAACAATTTAAAAAATAGTGCCAGTTACTTTTCTAAGTTCTTTGCTCTTTCCAACTCATTCAAGCTTCACGGGAGCCCAGCGAGGGAGGTCCCACACCAGCCGGGTGTACAGACAAGGCGAGGCAGGGTCTGTACACTTCCTGTGGCTGCTGTAACAAAGCACCATGAAGTTAGTGGCCTGAGACAGCACACATCTATTCTCCTACAGTTCTGGAGGCCAGAAGCTCAAAGTCAAGGTGTGGGCAGGGCTAGTTCTTTCTGGAGGCTCTGGGGAATCCCTGTTTCTGCCTCCCTTGGCCCGTGGCCCCTTCCCCACGTCACCGCAACCTCTGCTTCCATCCGCACATCTCCCCCTCTTCCAAACAGCTCTCTCTCTGCCTCCTCGTAGATAAGGACACTGTGATTACCCTTAGGGCCCACCCAGATATCTGGGACCATCTCCCACCTCGAGATCCTTAGTCTATTCACATCTGCAAAGACCCTTTGGGCAGGGGGAACATTCTCAGGTTTTAGGGATGAGGGTGTGGAGTCTTGAGAGGCCATTGTTCAGCCGCCCCAGTGCAGGACAGTGGCAGAGCTGAGACCTGGACCCAGGAAGCCTGGCTCTAGATCTTGCCGCCGTACCACTTCCTGTCCAGGATGTTCTCTGACTGGCTGACCGTGGGCAAGACATTCCAGGCAGATGGAAGAGAGCTGCCCTAGCCTCTGGGCAGGAAGACAAGGTTAGCATGGGAGGAAAGTTTGGCCTCTGCCAAAGTATGGTGCAACAAACGTAGCCTTGTGCTGGAGAGGGGGCACAGATTACCTAGACCCCATAGGGCATTGCTGTCGTCGGCCTGCACGCTGGAGGTCACAGCCATGAAGCTTCCATGGAGGGTGAGGATGCACCTGTTTCCCACGTCCTCCCCACCCCTGCACCCCGGCAGAGAGCAGAGGAGGGGAGGCTGGCAGAGCAGCAGAGGCTGGTGACAGTTCTTCCGGTGAATGCAGTGTTCAGAATGTGCCAGGCAGTGTGACAACATGTGTCTGTCTCTCATTTAATTTTATAACCATAATCCCTCACATACCCACTTAATGGATGCACAAATTGAGGCTCATCAACGATGGCTAGTATTTCTTGCTCATCTGCCACAGGTCAAGCCCTGTGCTCTATATGCTACAGATTCACGCTCACCTAATGCCCACATCTTACAAGGCCCTCTAAGGTGGGTACTGTCACCGTCTAATTGTACAGAGGGAGAAACTGAGCTTAACAATGCAAGTGAGCAGTTACAGAACGCTGAGGAGGGTGCGAGGAGGCCGGATTGGGCGGGGAGCTGCGGCGCGGCCTGGAAGTGGGAGGCTGGCAAGGTGGGCGGGAGCTGACGGGTTGGGTGGTGGGAGGAGCCCCGGGCCACGCCCTCTCAGCCCGGAGGCCACCGGCTGCGTCCCCCGCCCCTCCCTCGGCAGCAGGCGAGAGTGTGCTGGTCCTGGGCTGTGGGACAGGATGAGGAAGGAGTAGGGGGAAGGGGAGGGGGCAGGCAGGGAGTCAGTGAGGTCCAGGAGGGTCACCATAGTAACAGGAGCGCCTCTGCTCTGAGGCCTGAGCCTGAGCCGCCATGGGGAAGGAGATAAAAGGTTTTCTATCGATCTCTGCTGGGAAAGTCATCGGTGATAAGCTGGGCTGGAGGGGCCGGCTGGTGGGAGTGTGCACGGCTGCCGCACGGCGCATGCGCTTGCGGGTGCCCAGGGAGCCAGGACTAGCTGGGGTCAGACTGTTTGCTAGGTGACCGCCAAGCCAGGGTGGGGCTGGGCTGGGAGCTGTGTCTGTCTGCTTCTGCTATAGCCAGGGCAGCTGGCTAGCTAGGCCTCCTGCCTCAGTCTCCCCTTCTGTTCAGTGGGACCGCTTCTCGCCGCCCCCCCCCCCTCACCCAGGGCGGCAGTGAGTCAGGAATGTGGAGGCGAGAGGCAGGGCGGTGTAGGGGTGCGGCTGGCACACACTGGAGGCAGTGCATGGTCTCAGCTGTTTGCTTGTGGAGGTTTGGCCAAAGGAATCTTGTCCTTTCTCTTCGGAAGCCCGGCTGGCCGTCTGGGGCATCAACAGCTGCAGCTGGGGAAGGGCTGGCAGCCTTGGGTGAGGACAAGTGCTCCAGCTGCCCAAGCAACCAGGGCCAGGTCAGTCCAGGGCCCCACTGTGCCAAGGATGGCCTCAGCTCAGGGCCCCTTATGTGTGGCTGAGCACGTGCCCTGCTGGGCCTTGCGGTCCTGTGTGTACAGGCATGCACAGGTCACCTGCCCCGCCTGTCCCTGCCTGTGTCCACCTGTGTCTGAGTCTATGTCTTGGTGCATTCCTTCACTCCATCGGTGTGAGTGCTTCTAATGCCCCAGGCGCTGGGCTTGGCGGAGAGCAACAATGCCCAAAGCAGGCAAAAACCTGTGTCCTTACGGAGCCAACATTCTAGTGGGCGTCAGGGGCAGGGGAGAGACAGACGGAATAGATAGTAAATGTACAGGCTCTGGAAGATGACAAGTGTTCTGGGGAAGTGCAGGAGGGGTGGGAGGGGGAAGCAGCCTGCTATTAGTTACACAAAAGAACATGGTCTTTGAGCAGAGACCTGAAGGAGGTGGGGGATGGATTTGCGCGGGAGAGCATGGCTGGGAGAGGCGCGGCAAGTGCAAAAGTCCTGAGGCAGGAGTGCGCCGGGAAAAGCAGGGAGCCTGTGGGGCTGCAGAGGGGTTCGTGGGGCTGAGGGGAGGAGACAGGGACAGAGAGGGGCAGGAAAGGCTGGGGCATCTGACTTTGACTTTGAGAGAGGGCATGCCACCTCCCCTAGGTCCTCACAGTGTGGCCTGCCTGCTGCAAGGGGCCAGGGCAAGCGGGGAGGCCGGCGAGGCAGCTGCTGCACTGGTGCAGGCATGGGGGCCTGGCCAGGGGGCCAGGGTGCCAGGGTGCCAGGGTGGGGGTCGTGGGGATTGTGTGAAAAGGTTCCAATTCCAAATATGTTTTGAAGATAGAATTGCTAGGAATGTCCAGCATGGGGGGAGAAGGTGAGGAGTCCAGGACACTCCAGAGCTTTTGGCCTGAGCACCTGGCAACATGCGTTGGGGACAGCGTGCCTGTGGCTCTGTGCGGGCGTCTGTTGTTCGGGGCCCAGGTGTGTGGAGGGCGGGCGTGGGGATCTGTCCGCACACGTGGGTGCCGGCGTGTGCCCCTCTGTGTGTGCCCTCAGAGTGCCTGGCCGGGCCTGGGGGCAGCTGGGTGAGGCTCACCCTGTTCTCGATGGTTCATGCTGGAGGTAAGGACGGCCCTGCCAAGCTTGCTCCTTGGGGAGCCCATCCTTGGTTCTTCCGATTGTCCCAGGTCCCTGAAATGAGGGTGCTCTCAGCCAAGCCAAATCCCTGCCTCTTCATCCCTGCCGCCCAGGGGCTCCGGGGTTCAAAGGGACAAAAGGGAGAGGAAACGTAGGGGGAGGGGCTGTGGCAGGCCTTGGAGTGAGCACAGGCACCTCAGAGATGGCCTCTCCCCAGAGGACCACCTGTTGGGGGGATGGGTGCTGCTGAAGTCTGTCCTGGGGCCCCTGAGCGGAGGGACATGCCCACAGGCAGAGACACTGACTCCCGCCCGCAGGTCACCTTCCTGAAGCCAAAAAGAGTCACATCGGTCCATGTAGTTCTCAGAATTCATCTGCCCTCTTTCTCCACTTCCCCACGCCCTGTCCCTCCTCCAAGACCAGCTTTCATTCTGGCTCCAGGGACCCCCTCGAGGCACCGAGAATGTGGATGCTGGGGGCAGTCAGCCGGGGGACCACTTCTGTCACCTGTTGCAGGTGTGACCTTGGGCAAGTCACTTCACCTCTCTGAGCAGACATTTCCTCCTTCTGTAACTTGGAGCTGCAAATACCTGCTCTGTAGGGCTGTTCAGAGATAAACTGCACAGTGAGCTTGGCTGTCACCTCTGTGAGCCTCAGTTTCCTAATCTGTCAAGGAGGGCTGTGGAAAGATGGAGTGAGGTGCTGTCTGAGGAGGCCCTGCCTGCCCCTGGGCCACAGCACACCTCCCCTTCGTTCATTCCTTCCTCCTCCTGGCAGCTGCCCGTCCCTGTGCTCCCTGAGAGCCCCAGCACTCTGGGGAGCTCTCCCGGCCGTGACCACGGGCTCGCGACACCCATGGTGGGGTGCCGATGGGTCGCTGGGGTCTGCTGCTGTGCACGGCCCCCCAGCCAGAGCCAGCTTTGGGAGCTGGCCACACAGCGTCCAGGGCTCCTGCTCAGACCCCTTCCGGCTCACCGCGGGA